ATATTAATAGTTCAAGTTGCTGGAGAAGGACGGAACACTATTTACGAAAGGCTATTTATTTACTAGAATCTCATGAGTAATGTTAACTAATTTGTATCGATTGGGGTTTATTTCTCACCTTCTCTTTTTAAGGGGTTTCCTTTTGCCTCCCTTCATCGCTAGAAGTGACCGAAGGAAGTTAATAGTTTTCTCATCAGAATATTGCCTGTCCAAATAGAGTGATGAATGAAGAGACGCTTAACTGTTATTATTGCTTAAGTGACGTCTCACGGACAGGCTACGTCTCCAGACCCTTTTTATATCTCTCTGATTGTTCTTTCCTTTTATGTTTATTTGACCAGCATTTGTTTACTATTTACTTCTTCCTCACTGACATTCGATCTTCTCTAACTCTGTTATCTGTTACTGTGGCTTTAATCATTTGATTAACATTTTCCCCTTTCCATTCCCATGCTCTATCTTGGTGAGCTAGCAAACGTTTAATTTAGAAAAAATATGGAAGTGATAGATAGGAGGACATCATTATTTGTTTCTATTAATACTACTTCACGAAGGTATACCGTGTGCTTTTATCACACTCTCTCACAACCAAAGAGAGGATGTTCATCTGGTCTTCATCACCCCTCACCCTTTTTTCTATTACTACAAACTAGCTGGTTCTTTCAGGGTGGGGCATGCCAAGACATTCCTTTCTACTCTTGGGATTGCACCAAAAGAGTCCATGTGCAACAATGAGCCGTTCTGCTCTTGAAGGCGCGCGGCGGCACATTGTACGTAATCTTCCCTGCCACGCGGGTCATCTCGCGAGAAGGTCCTGGCGGTATGACTTGGTCATCTTGGCCCACCGGAATGCCCGAGAGTTCCAGGATCTGAGCGAAGCGGATGGCCGGCTCCCCGCCCAGCTGCCTCCCTTCCTACCCTTGGAATGCGGTCCCAAAGACGAGTGTAAGGCGGGCGCAAAAGAAACTTTGCAGAGACCCTAGCCATGATGAAAATGGGGGGTTCGAGCCTCCTATTGAACGGCCGGGACCCAACCGCGGCACACTGCACGTATGTTCCAACCCCACAGGATGCCGAGTGCAAATGGGGCAGGCAGGCCACATGCAGCCCAACAGGACACAAAAGTCAACCCCCGGAAATCCCCAAAAAGGACCACGGAGGGGGGAAGACCAACCCGGCGGGGGATTCCCCAAAACCCCCAAGGGGCAGCCAAAGCGTGCAGCCTCCAGATCGAGGCAAACCGGCAGTCGTGACGCGTTGAACAGGGGGGGAAACCCAGGTGAAAGAAGAACCCAACAGGGGACACCCTTACTCCTCCCCCCACCCGAGACGGGGCCAGAGGCACCCAAGTCCCGGTGGGAAGAGATCCCCATCCAAAAGTGTGAGACACGACCTAGCGGCTCTCACCCTTCAAGATCGCCTCCTGAGCCACCGAGTGGATGGCCGCCAGCCCTGACTTCTCCGGGTTGCTCAAGATGACCGACCACAAGGCAGTGGAGACATCCCCCAGGCCATTCGAGGAGCTGAAGCGCATGCGCGGGGTGCTCGCATCGCCAAGGACTAGCCGCTCGTCCCTGGGAGGCTCTGTCGGCTCCACCCGCTTGTAGAACTCCATCCTGTCCCGGATCCACTGATTATATAGCTGCTCCGGGGGCTCGTCCATCACCAGCTGCAGGCATGTGGCCTTGTCCTTGTGCCACCCCGTGATCTGGAGCAGCCTGGTCCCCCCGCGGCTCGCCCTCCAGAAGCCCTTGCAGAACCTGCACATGTAGCCCCCGGTGGTCTTGAACTTCTCCTTGCCCACCACTTCCCAGGCGCTGATGCTGGGCAGGACCAGGCCGCACCAAAACACGTGCTTCGTCTCCTTCGGGAAGTGCTTGTTGATGTACTTCCGGCCCGCGACCGCCGTGACCGTGGACGTGGTGATAGGAGGGTACCGCCTGGTGCCCTGGTCCGGCGTGCGGAGCGTGGTGTCCGCCCCCCCCTTGGCCGCTCCTCCCCCGGGCCAGAGGCACTCAAGGGGGGGGAGCAACCCAGCTGCCTGGTCGTACAGGGCCCCCGCCGCCTCCTCCAACCTGCTCCACCCAGTCATGGACCACGTTGCAACGCCAGTTGACCTTGACCTCCACCATGGAGGACTTACTCAGGCCCGACACCAGCTTGGTGTACACCGAGTCGAAAGCCCTCAACGATGACAGCGGAAGGGTGATTCGCTCGTCGCAGACCGCCCTGAAACGCAGCGCCTCCTTGCTGTCGTGGACGGGGGCCACTGGGATCTCCATCACCGGCAACGGGCAGTTAACGATGAAATTCTTGGCCGCCAGAAACGTCCCCATCTCCTTGAAGATGTAGCTCCATTCCGCCTTGCTGCGCGGCTTGGGGATTCCCAGGCTCTCCAGGAAGGGGACCGCCTCCTTCCTCATCTGGAGGATGTTGCCCATCCACTTGTCCGAGGCCGAGCCCTCCGCATTGCGGCCCCGGCGCTGCGTCTTCACGATCAGCGGGAAGGTGGTCCAGGCCGAGTAGATGTACTTGAAGGTGAACCTGTGGGCGTACACCCCCGTCAGGCTCGGCAGGTCCCACGTTCTCGTCTGCCTTGTCCAAAACACTCCATCGCCCTTCGCCCAGAAGATCCCCACCACCTGCTCCGGCGCCGGGCGCTCGCCCCGGTTCACCTGCGCTCGGATCTCCAAGGCCGTGTAGATGACAGGGTCGATGTGGTCCTGCTCGCACGTGAGTGGGTGGGTCCTGCGTTCCAGGGCCAGAAGCTCCTCCGGAGTGAGCTTGAATTGCTGGTCCGCGCCCTTGGGGATCTCACCGCTTGAGTGCTTCTTCCAGATCCCCCCAAACATCCGTAGCTCGCCTTGGTGCCTCTTCATCGCCCAGAGGAGCAGGGACAGCTTGCCCTCCTCCGAGTTCAGGTCCTGCTGTGGCATTGACTGGTCCCCCCCGGGGCCAGTGGCACCCTTGGGGCCGGTGTCGCCAGATCGGGCATCTCCTCCAGCAGCGCCTCCTGGTTCCATGGGTTCTGCGCCTCTCTGAGCCTCCTGATGTAGGGGACATACTTCTCCTTGATGTCACCCACGTTGGGGATGTCCTCGGGGTCATCCAGCTCCAGGGGGCAGAACAGCCCCCTCTCCAGTGCCTGCCTGAGATCATCTGGCCACGCCGACACTTCCAAGGGCTTGAGGGTGTGGTTAAGCATCCATGCCTGGTTGGTGTCCTGGGTGCGCTTGTTCGCCTCCTGAGCCTCCTGGATGGAGCCCATCGCCTCAGCCAGTGCCTGGCTGGCGTCAACGCCCTTCCCCTCCAGGTACTGATCTCGCAGCTTGGCCTTGAATCGCTCCAGGTTGACCTTGCTGAGGGCCCGGGCTCCCTCATTGGCCACCTCCTCTGACGGCAGGGCCTGCATGCCCTCCTGGAGAGGCGCCAGGATAGCCATCTCATTGTCCAGCATCTCGTCCGTGACCAACTCCTTGTGCCGCCGCCTGGCCGAGGACTCCTCCGGGGTCAGTTCCCGGTGCTCCCTCAAGGCCTTATGCAGCTCCTCCTTCTTCCGGATCGCCTGGTCCACCTGGGGGTAGTAGAGCTGGAAGCTCTGAGCCTCCGCCTCCTTCAGGGACCGCTGCACTTTGACCTTGACCTCCTGGTGCTCCCGGACCTTCAACGCCTCATCGTCCGCCTCCATGGACAGGATCTCCTGCCGGATGTCCACCCGCCTGTTGAGCGGGACCACGTCTGCCATGGTAATCTCCTCTGCCGTGTCCGTTTTCGGAGGAGCTCTCCCCAGGACCGTGCCGTCCACCAGGTTGCGGTCTGCCTGTGCCCGGGTACCACCGGGGCCAGCGGCACCCAGGCTTCCCCCTTCCCGCTGCTGGATCCAGGTCGGCTTGCCCTCCACAATGAGCAGGTTGTACTTGACGCCGTCCGCCTCGTAGGTAGCCGAGGGTGCCTGGAAGGGGACGAACTCCTTGCCCGGGCAGACCCAGCATTGCTTGGCTGCCTCCGGCCACCCCGTGCCGCATGCCTTGCACATGAATTTGTAGTCTGAGTGGCCGGCATCGAGTCTGTGCATCCGCTGGGTGCCAATGCACGCCTTGTTCCTCTGGAACTGTGAGGCCCAGACCTCCTCCTGCCGGATCTGGATCTTCATCGGAACATAGGCCTCCAGGATGCGAATCACCAAGTCCTCCGTGAGATTCTTCCCGACAAACTTGTGGAACAGGGAGACCGCCTCCTCCACCGTGACGTCCCTCAGCAACGTGGCCGCCGATGCCGGAAGGACCGGGAAGAGGTCTGGGAGGTCCACTAACTTGAAGTAGCCGGGACGGCCCTCCACCGGCACAAGGGAGACCGGTTTGTTCACCTGAGCCGTGGTCTTCTGGGAAGCCGCCACGAAACCCTTCAGCCTCTTCGTTGGTGGAGTAGCCCGCTCCGTGGCGTCCGCATCTTCCATGTCCTTGTCCTCCTCCTCGGCGGGGCCAGGGGCACCCAAGCCGGAAGTCGGTGTGGAGAAAGCCACACGGAGACGCTCCAGTGCACTGGAGAGGTCGTTCATCACGTCGGTAGCCGAAGCCGACGGGGGGGCCTCGGGCTCGTCCAACACCAGGCCGGCCGCCACTGCCGCCTCGCGTGTGCGAATTTCCTGGGCCTCCTGGCTGGCCATTTCCACCTCCTCCGCGGTGAGCTTCTGGCAATCAGCTCGAAGGAGGTTGCCGAGGTTGCCGAGGAAGCCATTGCTAGATCGGAGTTAGTTCGGGTTTTTTCACACAAATTGGGTTCAAAGAACCCAGGGCAAAGCTTGAGCCAAAATGGCATGCGCCATTATGGTCAAGCATTGCCAACACAGTTCATGTTTCCACATGCGTTTCAACATTAACAAAAAGGACACCGAAATATGTTCAACTCTAGATGTGGGCCCTTCACTCTTCATGCAAACCGCCTCATCTCACCCCGCACCATGTCCCGGGGCAAAGCGAGCGTCGGGCGGCCACCGTCGCCTGCTCCCCGTGCTTCGCCGTGTGCCGCAGCAGCACCATGGCATCCCGGGTCTCCCGGGCCACCCGCTTCACCTCGCGGCCCGCGCTCGCCTCGGCGCGCGAATCCCCAAGTGGCACCAGGGGTGGGTACGTCTAGAGACCCTCAGGGTTCGTTAGGGGACCCCCCAGGACCACCCCCCCTTAGAGACTCCATAAGGGGAACGAGGGGGCTGGGTAGTTGAGACCCCTCTTGGAGCCGTTTCTTGCTCCTTAGGGGAACCCCGCCTTGGACCAAACCCTTGTAGAAACTCCATGAAAGGAAGGTGGGGGACAAGGCACAAACACTGGACAATCCGAAGCTGAACCGAACATCTCTCGGTAGAGCGGCCGTTGAGCGAGCTGGCAAAACAGATCCTAGAAGAGCGCTCTGAATGGCTCCAAACAATATGCAAAACGTAGAGATGCACAGTGTAAATGATGAGCAAATGGGTGCGTTTCCAGGTATAGTTCACGCTTTGGCAAACCACAGGGAAAGCCGCTCCCTGCTGTGGAAGGACCAAATCTTGCACCTGAGGAAGCACAAAGCCCCATTCCCACCATGCAAAGTGGATTCTGTCCATCCACAATACTGGCGTTTGTCGTGTTTTTTTGAGGGAAGGAACCCCGCTTTTGGTTGGGTCCCTAGGGAAACCAAAGGAACCGGGCAACCACTGCCCTTTGGCTCCGACAGCGACCGCTTTCCCTTGGAGCCACCCTCCCGTCGCTCCGTCGCTCCGTCGCTCCGTCGCTCTCCGGGCCGCAAGGTCGGAGAACCACCGCCCGAAGCCCCGGCTCCCGCCGGAGTCATCCTGCCGACGCGGCGACCCGCTGGCCACCGGCGGGACACTAACGCGCTGAAATGAAAAACAAGAAGAAAAAAATGAGAAGACAAAGGAACAAACGAGCAAAGACGGCCACTGGGCCCAAAACGAGGACCGAGTTTCGCCAAAGCCCAAACAAACGACCGCGGCCAAGACCAAAAAGGGAAAACAACCCGCTGCTAACAAACGACCGAAACATATTCACTCAAACCGCTGCCGCTCAAACGGTCTTCCAAAGAAGGAAGCGACCGGTGAGCGCTGCAAGCGACCACAACAAACAATGCACGGTTCGTCACTGACAGTTCACCCAAAAAGGCACTATACTTTCCCTTCAAGAGTTGGCCAAACCTGCTGGGTTCCAAACCAGCACTTGTTAAAAGATTCGAAGGAGAAAAAAAAAACTACGAGGGACTGGCGGCCGTCTCAAAGTGTTTTTTTTTGTCGCCAACGGGTCTCTTAGGAATCCACTCGCACGGCTGGCTCCTCAGGCGAGCCGCGGGACCAGGACATGACCAGGGTCTACGCCATGGCGGGCAGAGTTCCCTCGGGCTTTCGGGGGGTGCTCCCCGCAAGATGTGGACCCTAACGCTTCGATTTTTCGCAACAAAACTAGCCACAGCTGACGTAAGGTTCTCTTGGCTAAGACGTAAGGTGGTTCTCTTGGCGAAGTGCTCAAGTACCTGCGGTTCACACATGAGATAAGACCTGCAAATTGGAGCTCATTGAACATCGTCTGGAAGTCAATGATACAACAGAATACAATATGTTGAGCGGACTGGCGACTTGCTCGCTTGCAAAAGGAAGTGGAACCTAATGCTCAGCGGCAGCTTGAGCTGGCAGAGGACATCTAGCCACTAGCAGACCAAAACAAAAGAACCTGTGACATAGAAGGACATATGTGTTTTGTTCAAAACTAAGGCCCCTGCGGGACCTTCGCTGTATGTTGACCCTTCAAACAGGGTCCAAAAGGGGAATCCGCTCGCTTCGCCTCCGGCCCTCACCAATTTTTCCGCTGCGGCCGTCCCTTCGGCCAATTGCTTTCTCAGACCTCCAGCGACGCTGTGCTCCACCACCAGAGCACAACGCGTTATGCATACGAGTGGCTCGTCTTTTTTTGAGGGTACCCTTTTCGGGCTCAGAAAAAAGGACACCAAAAGGAAGCCAACCCTTTTGGCATCCCAATTTAGAGCCAAAGCCATAAGGACTGCGTAAGAGCCGGCTCGAGCGAGGTAGGGCAAAATGGAAGGTGTGTAGTGGGGCTAGCCTAGGGCCAAACGAAGCCCAACAGTTTGAGAGGATCGGTACCAGAGGTCTGGGTGGCCATTGCCTGCTCCAACCTGACCAGCTGTCCACAAAGGCGATTCCAAATTGGCGCAACAACAAAAAACAACATGATGCCGGCCATCGGAGGAGCAGGCGCTAATTCACCTGGGCACAGAACTCACGCACCTCAGGGCATCCCGCAACAGCTCGGCCAGACCGCGCAACCCTGGCATCGCGGATCCAGCTCCAAGTGCAAGCTCGACGTCGGAGCAGAGCCGGAGAGGAGAGCCTGGGATTGCTACGGGAGAGGGGCCGATGGGTTTACAGCTCGCCAACCCCGGGGGGGGGACAGGGGGGGGGGGGTTCAAAGGAAGTCAAGAAACACCCTTCTGGGGTGCGTTGAAGCGAAGTTGAAAAGGTGAGCCCAAATGTTTGCCTGCATTGAGCCGTGAATGACAATCGTACTTCTGTCGAAAAAAGCAGCGACCCAAGCCTTAGAGGTCGCTTGGAAAGTCACAAGCAACCCTAAATGGGTGTCGATTGTTAGGGGACTCCCCAACACGGTGGTTGTCCTTGTGGTTTCCCTTTGAAACCCTCAAAAAACACACACACACACACACAAACAACTACAAATCCCTCACCTTGTTGGAAATGGAGCTGCACACCCGAGGGTTGAGTCCTAGTCTGTACACATCTCCCGCTTTCAGTCTGGCAGCATAAAGGCGCCTCCGCAGTCCTTTGGCCTATTGGATCGAATCTGCGGATTTGTTGTGCGTCATGGAACACCCAGGGCCAAGGACACGGCCTTTTCAAAGCAGCCAGGATGCTGAGTCGCGCTGCGGAAGGACTTATTCCCCCGCCCTTCTCGCATTCGAGCTCCTATGAGATCAGCACGTCTTCGCCCAGCTTGACGCTCCTCGGGCGCGCCGAATGCAGACAGAACAGCCCCCGACTCCAAGAATTCTGACCGGCAGAACAAAGGGTGAGCAACATGATTCTGAATTCTTCCGCCCCCTAGCCAAACAAGTACCCAAAACGCAAACCTCTGAGCTCCCGTATGCCCCTTCCCCCCTAGGCCCTAGCCAAAACGCCCCCCCAACCCCCCAACCCCCCCAACCCCCCCAACCCCCCCAACCCCCCCAACCCCCCCACCCCCCCAACCCCCCCACCCCAACCCCCTCAACCCCCCCAATTCCCCCCCCCCTCCGTCACCCCGTCGCCTGAAGGCGTCCTGGCGCTTGGCGTGTTGGATCAGCGCCGCCGGCGTCCGCGACGACGCCAAGGTCCTCGCGTGGCCTACCACCAGCAGCACCTGCCGCGCCCGCGTCAGCGCCACGTTCAGCCGCCCTCGGCGGAAAATCGGAGCCGTCCGGATGTGCGCCAGGGGCCCCCAATAAGGGGGGGGGGGGGTTATCGAGATTGGGAGCGTCCGCGCCTTTGTTTGAGGCTGCCCTTTGTTTGAGGCTGCCCCTGGGTTCTTTGTTGCGTTTTTTTCAAGGAAAACCAAAAGGGGAAACCGGCTTGGGCAGGTACCTCAAAAACGACACACCCACATAGAGCCCGCAGTTGGAGAAGGGAAAACAGGAAGCCGACCTGAAGTCCCGAAACTTGAGAACCCGCGTCACGTCCAAGCATTGCCAGGTTCCATTTGGTGACATGGAGAAATGGTGAAACGTGGCACTTGAACACAAGCTTGCACTCAAGTGTCAAAGTTCCCAGCCTCAAGTCGTAAGTGGGCCTTGTTTGGCCTGACCCCGCCAAGTGGCTGCTTTCTATGTCTTCTTCTCGATGCCAGCTTTCGGCATGTCATACCGGTGGAGCACACCGGCGCTAAACCCCGAAAAGATTCCAACCCCCCCAAGCCGCTGTTGCATCATCCAGCGCACCGTCCCGGCCCTCCCACCCCCAGCTGGCCCCAGGCGCGGTCATCTGCCACGAAACCGATGCTGGAGGACTTGTGCGAGGCGCGCACCTGGCGATGTCACAGCCACGTCCGGTTTTTGGGCTCCCCACAATCTGGCTAAAGCCACAAAGGGACCTCTGGGCGAAATCGGCCGCGATGGATGATCGATTGGCAAGGGTCCCCCCTCACTCCGTCACATTTTGGGAGGACCGAGGTCACAGTTCCCTAAAGATTGCACCATGAACCTTTTTGGGAACTGCTTTTGGACCCCGGGTTTCTTCGAGAGAAGCCCATGTGCAGGGAGATGAGGACATGTGTCCCCAAAAACGGTGAGAGGTTGTTCCAAAGAGCAGCCAATCAGAAGAATGGGTCCTTTTGGCATCCGTCAAGGAAGGAAGTAGTCATTCAGTGGAAAGGTTCCAAGCCCGTGATACCGAAACGAGATTCGCAGCGGATGCATCCGGAATGGTCCTGACGAACAGTCACTGGACACCATTGCTCGATGCATGCCACCTCCGGGCAGTGCAAACCCTGCTGCCCGCCAGTTGAGTTTTGGCCATTCCAAAAACAAGAAGGCGGGGGTGCGTGCATGCAGCTACGCAAATTGTGCAGTGGCACGAAAACTGAAAAAAAGGCGGTCTAATCTGACACAAATGGTGGGCACGCACTCAGGTAGCCACTATCACATGGTTGCTTACCCAACACTTTCCAGCATGATCAGCGGCAACCGGATGTAGTGGATGATTTCTCCACGAAGCAAACTCTCTCGGCTGGTTTGCAACCATCTTCTCCCGCTGGGTCTCTAGAACGGCTGCATGGTGGCTTCTCCGGGCAATCAGTTTCGTGAAAGTCGACGCGTCCAATCCACTTGCGGTTTCTGGATCAAACCAGATCAAATGTCCGGGGTCGGCTCTCCTCAAAAGCTGATCAATGGTGGTGTCCACTGAAACTGCCACTTTGAAGATCTGGGTGTGGTTCAAAATTAAACCACCAGGAATCGGACCGCACGTTGCAGCCCATGTTTCCATTTCCCAGGGCAAGCCATCTTGGGTACATATGTTTGACCACCACGGCCATCTAAAAAAGGGAAATCCATGGAGGGACCCCTGTCAAACTGCGGCTTTCCCGCGCAGGACTGGGCCCCCCTGCGGTGGAGCAGATCACCGCCTCCATCTCGCGGCCTCCATCTCGGGCGATCGATGCTCAAAGCCCGGGGCCCGGATCGCCGCGAGTGGTTTGGCAAACAAGAGCAGCCCAACTGCTCGTTGACCAAGCAGCTCTTCCCCACAAAAACAAAAGCCTAGGAACTCAGGGAGCGGGTTGTTTCAAAGGGAAAGCAAAGGAGAACCTATGGCCCATGCCCACACTTAAAAATGGCCAAGGTGATGATTGAGCTGGCAATGTGGCAAAGAACAATACTCTACAACCCTGATGAATAGAATCAAAGCGCCGAAAACAACTAGCGCGTGCAGACGGAAAATACATTTTGGGCCCTCCCCTTTTGAGTGCCGTGGACAGGACACAAAAAAGAATCGGCCGAAATCGAAAGTTCTTGGCTTCCCTTCAGTCAAAAGGCCCTTAAATGTTGCCAAGAGGGAACGGCTGACACCCGAAAAGATGTTCCAGATCAATCCTAGGCCAAAGGGACACTTTCAACCCTAAACCAGCCGGAACCCCCCCGGCATGGGTGTCCATTTCGGGGAAATAGATGGCCCTGGTAGATGATGAAACCACCATGTAAACCAGGAATCGCCATCTATTTTTTTAGCAAATCAACCAAAAAGAACACCTATGGGTGGAGGTAGTGACTGGATGGAGGTGTGGGAAATGCAACCAAGGGGATGGTCCTGTGCCGCCCGGCAACAGGACACCTATGCCTCCCGGTAACCAACTGACTAACAGACACTCGATCCGCGCCTTGGTAGCCATCCACCGTGGCCACCGTGACCGGAAACTTGACGGAGGCACTCCGCAGCTGGCCCTGGATGAGGCCAGGGTGCAAACCAGACCCTGGTACCGCGTAAGGGGGGAACCAACGCGGTTGGAACAATTCTAGGGGGTGATTCCAGTTCCATTCTTTTCAACATCGTTCTTTTCACAAACCGATCGCTGTTTCCCCTTGGATTCTGCTGGTTTTCTGAAAATAAGGATCCCTGGAAAGAATGGGGTAGTGTCCCCTAGAACAATTGGTGTTTTCAACCTCCTCGGCGCTTCAACATGTTAAGGGGCAACAAGAAGGCGGTTTAAACCATGGGTCTTGTGAAAGTGGAAGGGTGCCCCTCCTGCATCATCTCCTTCTGCGCTTTGTATGGCGTGATGATGCCTCGGGGACAGACGGAGCTCTTGAGTGCTCATTGTGTGCTCGCTGAAACTGGTTGAAGCGGATTGAAGGATTGGCAGGGGTATCTTCGAGACAGCGCGGCTTGCCACTGAACACCGCCTGATGGTCGGCCCTTCGAACCTACGATGCAAAATGTGTAGCTGCGTTTGTCTTTTTGAGTCCAAGCCTTGCTGAAAGTAGCACAGCTGCCTCTACTTGAGTGTGTTCCGCTGAACTCCTAGCTCTTTCCAACAATCATGGAAGTGGACCATGTCGAGTTTTGGAAGACTGCCATCCTCGCCATCCTCCTGAAAGGCCCCAAACGTCCACTTCCATGATTCCTTGTCCAAGGGCCAGAAATAAGTTGACCCCAACCCAAAAAATATGTGCAAAAAGAAAAGCACAACAGGGGGGGGGGAAACGGGGAAACAAAACACAAACAACAAAACAACCAACAGTCTGGAGGAAAAAAAAAAAACGGAAAGAAAAGGGAACCAAAAAAAGGCACAACCCCCACGCCGCAACCTCCCCCCCCCCCCAACCCCAAACCCCAAACGCCAGGGCGCCCACGCTCCTGGCCAGGCCTTCTCTTCCCGCCAGCAGCGCGGAGGCCTGCAGATTCGCCGCCAGCTGGGCGCAGAACTTGGCCTCCTCCTCGAACGGAACACGCGGAACGGAGGTAGATATGTGAGCTCTGGGTGTATCATTGGGGGGAAACACACGTTTGGTCTTGAAGGGGAAACCAAAAGGAGACCAATCATTTGAGGGCCCTTATTTTGGAGACACACCCGTGGATGTTAATTGGGGCGGAGTGAGCCCCGCCCTCTACCTCTGCCCCCCCGTTGGGATGCGACGAACGAGAGAGCCCGGTCCAGGTTGTACCAGGACCCGTCTGCCAGTTGGGCGGCCGACCTCACATGGGGCTCGAAAAGGAAGTGTGACTGGAGGATGAGGAAGACAAGTTGGAATCCCCACCCCCACAGCATTGCGGACGGAATGATGCCAGCTTGAGACCGACACATGCTGACACTAAGCCAGTGACCTGATGAGTGACCATCTTTAGTGGGTGTGCTGTCGTAGTTAATGGCCAAATGGGTGTGCGCCTTCTAACCCACGTAAGGGGTTGCTTTTGAGCCATCTCTGGCCCTTTTTCGGTTGCTTCCCCCCATTTTCAGACAAACCGGAATCTCCAACCCCCAAAAAAAAAAAAAAAACACGGATCCCGAGCCCCGCCCACAAAAACCAGCTCCCCAGTTTCCCAGTTTTCCTTTTTCTCGGGCCAAAAAGCCGAGCGACGACTCGAGGTCCAGAAACAGAAAGGCCGGGATCAGCGCGCAGCGCTGCGGCAGGCAGAGTTCCGCGTCCCGGAGCCGCCCTGAGGCGGATGGGCTGTGGAGCTGGAGCTGGGAGCTGGGTGGCCCATGGGAGCTGGGGCTGTGATAACTGAAGGCATCCCCAAAACGGAGTTCTGCTGGCGCCCGGGAAAAAAAAAAACGAAAAAATCGGAGAAAAGTCCGTGCGCTGGCGTGCGAGCGATCCAGAGGCAGGCAACCCCTAGCAAAACCAGTGGAATCCCTCGCCGCCTTGGTAGAAATGCTGCCGCGGGAAGGCCGAGATGGCTGGCACCATGCGGTACTGCTCCTCGCAGATGAGAAAAGGAATGGCGACGCGCTGGTGCACATGCCAGTGGGTTTTCATCTGCTTAAGCAGGGGTGTAACAGGCAATGCTTTACCGGACATATCCAGCTGTGTTGTTAGTCAGCCACGCTGCAGAAACATGAACGGCGGCAATCCTCGTCTTTGTGTGAAACCAAACGAGTCCAAACCAACACCAAACCCCATTAAGCAAACATACTGCCATGGACATATTTATGATGAGAGATGGAAAGACGTGACACGGGCAGATGATTTTCTCATCCCCACCCCCTCAACGTCCGAAAATGGGGGAAGATCTGTCTGAAAAGATGACATCTCCAGATGTCCCCCCCCTTCTTAACGGGGTGGTGTTTTTTTCTTCCCTCCATTCACGAGATAAAAACACCATGTTCGGGACCCGTATCTCCTGCAGGAGCTCGGGCTCATGACCTGCGTCGGGTGGGGCATCCCCACACGACGAACGCCACGAGGCCAGGGAGGGAGGTGGCCACCAACCCCCAAAAACGGGGGGGGGGGGTTCCTCCAAAAACAAAAGGCAGTGGCCCGGTGGGCCTCGTTGAGACTTGTTAGGGGCGCTTTGAGGGGCACCGAGCCTGCTCGACGTGTTGGACCAATGTTTGAACAGGCTCCCTTCTGGCGATTGTGAAAGAGGGCCGCAAGGTGGGGTCTCTTCATTTTCCCAAAGGGGATCCCAAGGCAAAGGATCAACCAAAACGGTTCGTCCAGCTCCTTTGTCACGCCAAAACAAGATCACCACCCATCCCGTCTGAGGTGCGGGCCGATCACGCAGAGCCGCTCAAAGAGGGAGCGGCTCATCAGCAGCTCTTCCGCGTTGGGCGTGAAGACGGTGGGCGGTAGCCTGGGCGCGCCTGTGGACCCTTCTTGGGGCATGCGGGGGTTGGGAGGGGGGGAAGGTGGGGATTGGGGGGGAGGGGGGGGGCTCATTCTCGTGTGCCTCACCAAAAACAAACCACTCGGGCAAAGGACCGGGACAAACCAATCACCCTTTCAGCCCCCAGAAGTGGCAGTTCAACTGATACCAAGTGGGCAACCAAGTGGGAAACCAACAAGAAACCGCAAAAAAAGGAGGAGTTGTTTGCCCAAACTCGTTCTCTGAGCTGTGCAGAAAAGGCGCCCTGCGCCCATAAAGCGTGCACAGAAGAAAACCAACCGTTTTCTGGAGGTTTGGGTGATTGGAAGCACTTATTGCTCGGTGAACCAAGCGCACGCTTGTCCAACTGATTCTGACCGGAAAAAGAATGGATGCGGCGCCGATAGTTGCTCATGACACCTTCAAAAATGAACCAAAGTCCGCTTTTCCATGCAAGGATCTTTCGGTTGCAAACCGGATCCTGCTTGGTGCCAATTGCATGGCACGATCGCTTTCTGCATCATTGCCCCTTTCATTTCGTGGCTTGCATGATACTGTTCTAGTTGGCTTGCAACATTTGCCCGCGTGTCAAACAGAGCCTCCAAATGGTTGGTTCCATGTCCACTTTCCTTCGAAGGGCTTGGCCAAAACCACAGCCCAACGGCTGCATCCTTTTTGAGGATACACGACAAATGGAAACCAAAAGACAAGCCTTTTCTGGAGGTTCCGACCAAGAGCGACACCTGGCAAACGGGCCCCCGCTTCCGTTGCTCAGGCGAGGGCTGAAGGTGATCGCCAACTAGGACCTCGAAGCCATGCGGTTTTCAAGGGGAAGTCAAGGGCGGCTGCTCGATTTCATTACCCTCACTCTCCCTGCAACCATCTGGAAGTGGACAGGGGGCTTCCCCAAGAAATAGTCTTCCAACACCCTGTGAGCTTCCATGATTGTTGGAGGGAGGGTGATGTCAACCCCCAGTTTGGTGGGGATTCATCGCTCTGGAGTGAACATCCCCCCTATGAATAGGACAGTTTCTTCATCCGAGGTCAAGATAAGACTGGAGAATGCATCCTCGGAATGCGGGCGGGGGGGGGGGGGGGGTGGCAGGGAAGATTACGTACAATGTGCCGCCGCGCGCCTTCAAGAGCAGAACGGCTCATTGTTGCACATGGACTCTTTTGGTGCAATCCCAAGAGTGAAAGGAATGTCTTAGCATGCCCCACCCTGAAAGAACCAGCTAGTTTGTAGTATTAGAAAAAAGGGTGAGGGTGAGTGTGATAAAAGCACACGGTATACCTTCGTGAATAGTAGTATTAATGGAAACAAATAATGGTGTCCTCCCATCTATCACTTCCATATCTTTTTTTTTAAATTAAACGTTTGCTAGCTCACCAAGATAGAGCATGGAAATGGAAAGAGGAAAATGTTAATCAAATGATTAAAGCCACAGTAACAGATAACAGAGTTAGAGAAGATCGAATGTCAGTGAGGAAGAAGTAAATAGTAAACAAATGCTGGTCAAATAAACATAAAAGGAAAGAACAATCAGAGAGATATAAAAAAGGGTCTGGAGACGTAGCCTGTCCGTGAGACGTCACTTAAGCAATAATAACAGTTAAGCGTCTCTTCATTCATCACTCTATTTGGACAGGCAATATTCTGATGAGAAAACTATTAACTTCCTTCGGTCACTTCTAGCGATGAACATGATTTTATTAATGAAGATTGATTCAGTAGGATTTGACAAGTATTAGCTTGGGAGGCAAAAGGAAACCCCTTAAAAGAGAAGGTGAGAAATACACCCCAATCGATACAAATTAGTTAACATTACTCATGAGATTCTAGTAAATAAATAGCCTTTTGTAAATAGTGTTCCGTCCTTCTCCAGCAACTTTGAACTATTAATATCCTTTTCATTCTCACCTAAAACTCAAGAATATTGCACATATCTAAGGATAAAATAGGAAGTGAGTGAGAGATGTTGCAAGGAAATTCTAATAGAACAAAAGCAGAAAGAAGATACAAATAAATAAGCTCCATGAGTAAAGACCAACAGCCTCTTCAGAGTCAAGCAAACTATCTATGGTTATAATTTGTGTTTATTCTTCATCATGCACTAACATCTTCTCCAATATATTTGTGTAAATGGGATGAAGTGGTCACGGGGTGAATTTAAAGGCAATAATTACAGAATCTTTGTAATCTCATAGCTTACTGCGTTTTATTATCTTATTGCGTTTTCTATACTATCCACCATTGTCCACTCTAGGTTTTTCACTGTGTTGGAGAGGGTTCTTGATGGACAAGAATAATTTGTCTCCCAATAAACCGTTTCATTTATTAACATTCTTTATTACTTTCATGTTCTTGGTTCTGTCATTTGCCTATTGATTTATTTATTTATGTATCTATTATGTTTCTTCATAGGCCTTTTTCGTAATTCTTACTAATCCTGATAGCCGCGAAAGACGGGAGAGCAGAAGGAGTGTTAGCCAGTTCCTCTTCTTCATATTTGTTATTACCCCCCGGTTTTTTCCCCCCATCCAGATGCCTCCAACGTTTACAATGCGAGAGAGAGAAAGAGAGATTGGGAAGATAGATAAACAAGTAGAAAGGTTGCAAAGTGAACAAGTACATGAGAATGCAACCAGCAGATGAGAGACTATGAACCTATTCTTGGTAATGATTAACGGTCTGTTCCAACCATCGTGATTTTCTTTACATCGCCAATTTTTTCAACCTCACACCCAGAAGCATTTCTATACTTCTCAGATAATATTGTAAATGGAAGACAACAAAGATAGACATTCAAGCAATAAATGGGATGGTAAACCGAAAGGCAATGATCTTAATAACGACATGTCCATCCACAAATGTTTCCTGGATGAAGTGGAAGAGATAGAAAGGGAAGGATACAAGCTCTTGGGACCACAAACCAACCTCTCTTCCTCCGTGACTTGGACAAGGAAAGGACGTCAACGATGAGAAGAACCCAGTCCTTACACCATCCTATGATCTAAAACTCTATTATTGTCCTTTCATTTCCAGAAGATTATTAGCAAAAGAGAGAGACCGCTAGCATTTGCTTTTAAAAAGGTTTTAAGGATTCTGTAGTCAAATCTTTATGGGTTGAAGATGTTGGTGGGTGACATACATGGGAAAATCAGGATGCGATCGGAGGAAAAGAAAGAATCACGTTACTTCTGTTCACCCTCTCCTATCTTCTCTTCTTCTTCTTCTTCCCAAGCACCACACGGCATAAGATTAACAGCAGCCTATGCTTGAGGAAGAAGTCAAGAGAGGCTTCTCACTTCCCATTTTCAATCTTCAATTTCATCAAAAGGAAAGACAGAAGTGATAGAAAGACATGGTAAGTGCCCATCCAATTCGTTATCTTCAATTAGTATTGATGGGCGCTTACCTCCTTGCCAGACGCTTTACTTCTTCATTTCCAAAACACGGCAATGTAAAAGACAAGGCAAGGAAAATGACAAGCGTTGGCTGGGCCGGGAAAGGAAAGGTCATCTTCTTCCATCTGTGTTTTTACAGAAAGAAGCGGGTTGTGGAAAGTGGCTTTCTTTTTCTACAAAAAAACCAAAAATAAAGCCAATATCCCCTTCCTTCGTCCCACTTTTAGACTGTTCCATCGTGAGTCTTTCGTAGTGACAGAACTCCAGAACGTAGTGGGGAAGGGAAAGGTAAAGATGGAACGGTTGATCTCCTTCCTATCTTCTCCCCACTAGCGATACAGTTGGAGAAGAAGGAACGGGGGGGCTAGCTTCTCCCTCCTTCCTTCACCCCTCGATTTCTGGCATTCTTCAACGGTTGAAAAGGGAAACAGAAGAAGGGGAAGGATGAAAGGTCCAAAAGATAGTAAAACACAAGCAAAATAATATGAGGAAGACCTACTCATAATCTTTTTTCCTTTCGGTGAGCCCCAGCGACGACCGGACAGCAAAAAGCATTCACAAAGAAAGATAGCGTAATGAATCTCAACAAGGGAAGAATAAAATAGAAAAGAACGAGGAATGTAAGTATGGTTTTAAGATTAGAAGCATATATTAGCACGTAATAAATTAGATAGCTTCTGTAAGCACCACCCATAATTATCTTTAGCTTTGTCACAACTGTCTCGCGCCCTTTTTATGTTGTTAGCTTGTATAAAACAGGATTTTGAAAAGAAAGGGAGGATATTACGTTTTCTACCGTAATTATTACTGCCTGCAAATGCTTTCGTCACTTCTTGCCCATCCATAAATGCAAATAAAGGATGAGGATGGATGGACAAGAGGAAACAGGCAATGATTTGGAAGAGGCCCCAAAAACAAGCTGGAAAGGGATAGTGAGGGAAGCTTCAATCATCATATTCTCCAAGTCTCACGGACAGGCTATCTGGTGTATTCTGCGTGATGTCTGGGCGGAAGATTTTCTTAATCATTCTTTGTTCTTTCACACCTTTCCCTTTCCCTTACCTTCATCGATTGGTCTAACCTGGTATGCGATAAAATCTCTGAGATACAAATGAATCCATCCCACAATCCCAGTAGCCTTTCCATGTCTTTCTATTTGTACGGTTTTCTCCATCTCTTTCTCCATCAGGTATGTGTGGTATGAAAGTTATCCAAAAGAAGCGTGTTACAGAAGATGTCCTCTCTCCTTTACCTATCTTATGTTTATTTCTTTATCCCTGTCTTTTCCTTGATTGTAGGAAAAAATGGTCAGGGGAGAGAGTGAAAGATAAAGAAAGGAGTATGAATTGAATTCGAGATCCTAAAGAAAAACAAACACATGGAAATAGCAGCAAAGAGAGATTCCAAATGAACAGATAATATGCTTTCCTCCCCATTTCCTTACCAAACTTCAACCGATTCAAAATGAAACAAACTTGACCCAAAAAAAGCCGTTAAGGGAAGGACGGTGATCAAGTTTTATCAAGTTTACAATGTTCACACCTTTACTTGTAATTTGTGTAATTCTGGACCGACTTTTTACAAACTAGCTTGTGCAATTTGCAACCCCCGAGCAATGTTTGTTCAAATCCAGCTTGTAATTCTAAATCGGATGTTTGCTGACATTGAAACGTACTCTGGGGAATTTGCTTTCCGGGGAGATTTGGCTGGAGTTACATTACAAGTTATACACATTTTGCAGATTAGTTTCTGAACTATGCCAACTTCCAAAAAATATGGTTAACAATTAAGCATTTCACAAATTTCGCAAGTACATGTGTAAAAAGTGAAATTTCCCAGATTTTACAAATGAATTTGCAAAATTTGTGAAATATAAAAAAATCTGGAACAAAATTACAAATTTTACAAATTTCACAAATTAATTTGTAAAATTTGTAAAATATCAAAAAAATCTGGCCCAAAATTACAAATTTTACAAAATTTACAAATTCTAGTCTGAGAAATTAGCTTCCAGGGGAATTTGGTAGGAATTAAATTAAAAATTTTCAATTTTTGGATTTTTTACAAATTTTACAAATTATTTTGTAAAATTTGTAAAATTTCAACAAAAATCTGGCCCAAAATTACAAATTTTACAAATTAAACAAATTCGAGTCTGAGAAATTAGCTTCCAGGTGAATTTGGTAGGAATTAAATTGCAAATTTTACAAATTTTACAAATTTTACAAATTAATTTGTAAAACTTGTAAAATATCAAAAAAATCCGGCCCACAATTACAAATTTTGCAAATTTTACAAAATAATTTGTAAAATTTGTAAAATTTCAAAAAAATCTGGCCCAAAATTACAAATTTTACAAATTTTACAAATTCGAGTCTGAGAAACTAGCTTCCAGGGGTATTTTACAAATTAATTTGTAAAATTTGTAAAATATCAAAAAAATCCGGCCCAAAATTACAAATTTTACAAATTTTACAAATTCGAGTCTGAGAAATTAGCCTCCAGGGGAATTTGGTAGGAATTAAATTACAAATTTTACAAATTTTACAAATTTTACAAATTTTACAAATTAATTTGTAAAATTTGTAAAATTTCAAAAAAATCCGGCCCAAAATTACAAATTATACAAATTAATTTGTAAAATTTGTAAAATATCAAAAAAATATTGCCCGAAATTACAAATTTTACAAATTCGAGTCTGAGAAATTAGCCTCCAGGGGAATTTGGTAGGAATTAAATTACAAATTTTACAAATTTTACAAATTTTACAAATTAATTTGTAAAATTTGTAAAATTTCAAAATCCGGCCCAAAATTACAAATTTTACAAATTTTACAAATTAATTTGTAAAATTTGTAAAATATCAAAAAAATCTGGCCCGAAAAATTTACAAATTTTACAAATTGTCTGAGAAATTAGCCTCCAGGGGAATTTGGTAGGAATTAAATTTTACAAATTTTACAAATTTTACAAATTTTACAAATTAATTTGTAAAATTTGTAAAATATCAAAAAAATCCGGCCCACAATTACAAATTTTACAAATTTTACAAATTAATTTGTAAAATTTGTAAAATATCAAAAAAAAAATATTGCCCGAAATTACAAAATTTACAAATTTTACAAATTCGCGTCTGAGAAATTAGCTTCCAGGGGAATTTGGTAGGAATTAAATTACAAATTTTACAAATTTTACAAATGTTACAAATTATACAAATTAATTTGTAAAATTTGTAAAATATCAAAAAAATCCGGCCCAAAATTACAAATTTTACAAATTAATTTGTAAAATTTGTAAAATTTCAAAAAAATCCGGCCCAAAATTACAAATTTTACAAATTAATTTGTAAAATTTGTAAAATATCAAAAAAATCCGGCCCAAATTACAAATTTTACAAATTTTACAAATTCGAGTCTGAGAAATTAGCCTCCAGGGGAATTTGGTAGGAATTAAATTACAAATTTTACAAATTTTACAAATTTTACAAATTTTACAAATTAATTTGTAAAATTTGTAAAATTTCAAAAAAATCCGGCCCAAAATTACAAATTTTACAAATTTTACAAATTAATTTGTAAAATTTGTAAAATATCAAAAAAAATATTGCCCGAAATTACAAAATTTACAAATTTTACAAATTCGCGTCTGAGAAATTAGCTTCCAGGGGAATTTGGTAGGAATTAAATTACAAATTTTACAAATTTCACAAATTTTACAAATTATACAAATTAATTTGTAAAATTTGTAAAATATCAAAAAAATCCGGCCCAAAATTACAAATTTTACAAATTAATTTGTAAAATTTGTAAAATTTCAAAAAGAGCTGGCCCAAAATTACAAATTATACAAATTTTACAAATTAATTTGTAAAAATTGTAAAATTTGTAAAATTTGTAAAATTTGTAATTTAATTCCTACCAAATTCCCCTGGAAGCTAATTTCTCAGACGCGAATTTGTAAAATTTGTAAAATTTGTAATTTCGGGCCAGATTTTTTTGATATTTTACAAATTTTACAAATCAATTTGTAAAATTTGTAAAATTTGTAATTTTGGGCCGGATTTTTTTGAAATTTTACAAATTTTACAAATTAATTTGTAAAATTTGTAAAATTTGTATAATTTGTAAAATTTGTAATTTAATTCCTACCAAATTCCCCTGGAGGCTAGTTTCTCAGACTCGAATTTGTAAAATTTGTAAAATTTGTAATTTCGGGCCGGATTTTTTTGAAATTTTACAAATTTTACAAATTAATCTGTATAATTTGTAAAATTTGTAATTTTGGGCCGGATTTTATTGAAATTTTACAAATTTTACAAATTAATTTGTAAAATTTGTAAAATTTGTAAAATTTGTAAAATTTGTAATTTAATTCCTACCAAATTCCCCTGGAAGCTAATTTCTCAGACTCGAATTTGTAAAATTTGAAAAATTTGTAATTTCGGGCAATATTTTTTTGATATTTTACAAATTTTACAAATTAATTTGTAAAATTTGTAAAATTTGTAATTTTGGGCCGGATTTTATTGAAATTTTACAAATTTTACAAATTAATTTGTAAAATTTGTAAAATTTGTAAAATTTGTAAAATTTGTAATTTAATTCCTACCAAATTCCCCTGGAAGCTAATTTCTCAGACTCGAATTTGTAAAATTTGTAAAATTTGTAATTTTGGGCCGGATTTTTTTGAAATTTTACAAATTTTACAAATTAATTTGTAAAATTTGTAAAATTTGTATAATTTGTAAAATTTGTAATTTAATTCCTACCAAATTCCCCTGGAGGCTAATTTCTCAGACTCGAATTTGTAAAATTTGTAAAATTTGTAATTTTGGGCCGGATTTTTTTGATATTTTACAAATTTTACAAATTAATTTGTATAATTTGTAAAATTTGTAAAATTTGTAAAATTTGTAAAATTTGTAATTTAATTCCTACCAAATTCCCCTGGAAGCTAATTTCTCAGACTAGAATTTGTAAAATTTGTAAAAAAATGTTTTTTTGGAGAATATTTTCTTTACTGTACCCTACAAATTAATTTGTAATATCTGCAATTTCATTCCTACCAAATTCCCCTGGAAGCCAATTTCTCAGACTAAGATTTGCAATTTTATGAAATCAATTCCTATACAAGATCTGCCTGAAAGCCAGCTCTCAGTGTGATGTTGATGCCCAGACCTCTCCCGGCACATTATACATACTCTTCCCTCTTACGGGGGGGGGGGTGGGGGGAGAAATGTTCTGCTAGTGTCCCTAGCACCTCAATCAGCCACCAGCACCCTAAACCGCACGCCCCCTAGCACCAGCCCATCAATCTCGCAAATCAGTTTCCCCTCTTTAGAACCCCTATAGCTTTCAGCTATCTGGGGAAAAAACCTTTGATTCAGCCTCTTAGGGTGCGCCAGTCTAGCATTGGGCCATGCCTCCGGGAAATCCAACCCACCCAAGAAAAAATGGCGCTAGCCATTTGGAACGTCCCGAACTTAGCCTATTGAGGGAATCTGTCCAAAGCTGCGGATTCCTTTGATAGGTTTCCATTGGGTCCATAAACAAATCGTTCCTTCAAAGGATCCAACTGCAAATGTTGCCACAAATCCATTTGGGGGTATTCACAAATTGAGGGTCCACTGGCGGCTGGTGTCTTCAAGTAAACGAAAACAAGCCACCATTCTGATACGTCCTCTATCTTTGGCAATAACCTCTCTGAAGGCGTCAATGCAACATTGACCCCTGATTCATCATAACCATAACCCCACGGCTTCCCTGGAACAACAACACACTTCACGTGGCCCAAACTGAATAACAACTGGTGTCCATAAAAACGGGATTCATAGCTGGGAGTTTAAAGATGTCGCCCAAAGAAGTTGCCAGGAGTGAAGATCCCTCATTGTTTGTTCAGGCATCAACACTGGTTCGCTGAGAGCAACACCTACATTTACCAAACGGCGTGCATGACTTTTGAGCGCAGACTAAAACACAAACAAACCAAAAAACCAACCAACCAACCAACCAACCAACCAACCAACCAACCAACCAACCCACCCACCCACCCACCCACCCACCACCCACCCACCCACCCACCCACCCACCCACCCACCCACCCACCCACCCACCCACCCACCCACCCACCCACCCAACAAGCCAACCAGCCAACCAACAAGCAAACATGAAGCCACCTCTTACTTTTGTTTTCAGCCCCCATTCCGTGGACCCCGGCACAGGTCCGGCCGCCCGCGCCCATGGGCACCAAGCACGCGGGCTCGGTGGCTTGGCCCGCCTCGTCGATGACCTCGGACATGGAAACCCCTACGGATGGTTGCGACATCCATTTCGGTTGACACCATAAGCTAAAGGGCCAACACGAAGTCAAGTGGTGCCATTGAGGGACCCCCAATCAAACCTTCATACACAATATATCAAGGGCCTAACCAATAAATTGAGTTCCAACCAGATTTAGTCATCAGTAATCGGGCGAAACTTTTGGCAATACTGTGGATGGTTGCGAGATCTGCAAATGTCGCACCAAGAAAAGGAAACCATGGTTGAAACCATAACTTTGGTTTGTATTTACGTTGGGAAATCGTATCAGAAACTGTTGGGCGGTGCACTTTATGGATTTCGCAACCATCAGTCGGTTGGTTTGTTGCTTGGTTTGCTTGCTTGCTGGCTTGCTTTTGGGATCATGAAACCTACAGGATCAAGTTCACTGAACTGTCCAGGTGCCGTTGGTTGGCGACCTCGTCCATGGAAACCAGGGGATCCCAATGGTGGGGGTTCTCCGAAAACCGTTGCGCTTCGTTTCTCCCTATTCTGCCCATGGAAATCCGACGGGAAGAGATCCAGGCAGACCAAGGGGAGGGTGCGGGGGGGTGCATTTCAACTAGGCCAAGCTGAGATTCCAGAGGACTCAGGGGGAACCTGCTTTGAGCTAAGGGAAATCCAAGACAAGACTTTGATTGTGGCGTCCTTTGTGTTGATATGTTGTTTCTGACATCTTGATGCCCGTTGATGCAATGATGAGGTTCTTGGTGTTGCATTGATATGATGTATGTATACATATAGATATATATATATATATATATAGATATTACAAATATTGTACAGGAACATATGTATGCGTGTGCAAGGTTGATTTATGGTTTTGCAGCTAATTTGGATCATGGCCATTTCAAGGATGTCGGAACAAACCAGGTCAACACAACGAACAGGCTCTTAAGAGCATTTGCGAAGAGAACCAGGGCGGTGCGCGCCTGACAGGGCCAGGGTCCTTTGCCTCCCTTTTTTCTGGTCGCAAGAGTGCTTCCTGTGTTGGCGTTGACTTGCTGAAGCTCCAAAGGGCGCTCAGTCGACATTGCCAACAACAGACGGAACACCTGCAGACTTGGTCTGGCAAGGAAGCTGCCACACTCGTCCACCAGCGCACGCTGTGGACGCCAGCCAGGCCGGAGACATTTCGGAGGTGCTATTTAGCCAAACCTCAAAGAAGCGAAATCCTGACGGCCGTGCCTCCAACGCAACCCCGCACCCAACACACACACACACACACACACACACACACACACACACGGGCCAAGCCCCTTTAAGTGCCCGGCGACGCGGTCGAAGGAGCGGATCATGGCATCGGAGACCTGGTCTGAATTCGGGAAAATCGGGGCAAGAGGTCGCTTTAACTGAAGCAACACCCATGAGGAGCAGCCAAAGAGTTGCGGGGAAGTGTTCCAGATCCTTCGCAAGTTTGCAAACCCTGCCTCTTGGCCATGGGTATCATATTTGAAAGGCGGTCTGTTAAACGGACAACAGAATTATATGATGCTGTCTGCTGACTTCAATTGGCAACCTAGCACCTCGTTCCAAGAAGCTCTATCTTTTCAAATAGCCTTAAGGTGCAGGAAAGAACCGTACCCTCTTCAAACTAACAACCAAATCTTCCACCGCCTCCACCCCCAAACCCCTTCACCACCACTTCACCCCCCCCACCCCCAAGCCCCAGCCCACCCCACTCCCCTCTTCACCTCACCCGGGGCCGCCGGGGCCCCGCGCGTAGGCGCGGACCCGCGCGGCGCTGCTGGCAGTGGCGAAGACCAGCTGCGCTGCGTCCAGCACCACCGCCTCCAGGCGCCGACGCCTGAGACGTCCGAGGGAAGCCGAAGGGTGGGGGTGGGGGTGGGGGTGGGGGTGGGGGTGGGGGTGGGGGTGGGGGTGGGGGTGGGGGTGGGGGTGGGGGTGGGGTGGGGTGGGTTGCCGACGAAGCCGCAAAGGGAAAAAGGGTGGTTGCCATTGGCCTGGTGGTTGCCATTGGTTGTTTTCTTGGTGAATATGACCCTACACCTGTTCCATCTGACGGGCACGGGGAATACCTGGCGGGAAGTACCGCAAACATGGTCCACTGCACTCCCGTGTATCGATTCGAAACAAACCACACACCAATCTAAATCACGGGGAACTCTTAGACGAGCAGTTCATCCACCCATTGGATTTGGCAACGGCATGGCGATACTAATATTCCTCCAGGTTGTTGAACGCCTTGCCAGGGAGTGGCCCGCTTCAGACGGGACGTGGATCAGCCGCAAGGTTCTACTTACATCTGGGCCTGTTGCCTGCCAAGAATCTATGCCCCTGCCTCTGCTGAAAAAACGGCAGAGGTTTTACCAGAAGTGGAGTTGCTTCCATTTAACATGGGACCCAATTCGTTCTGGGATTACCCTCCCAACAAACAGATCGAGCCTGCGCAGAATCCGTTCCTGGTTTGGACCATTTTCGTTCGGAGACCGCTGCGCAAGTTCCTTCTGTTGGGAGGGTAATCATCCGTTCCCACTTTGGGGGTGTCATTTTCTGACTTTTGTGCGGGAAGCCGGAAGGAAAAGCAACATCCATTCTGTGGAGGACCCTGAAAAAAGAGGCGCACCCATTTCTGTCTGAGGATCAGCTGGTGCCAATTCTCCGGAGGGTCCTGCAGGAGGCAGAAGCGCTTCCGCAAATTGTCGAGGAACCACCACCTCCGAAGTCTTGGAAGCGGGGGATTCTTGGAGGAAGTCGGCAAGTGGCTTAAACCCTGGTGGTCGCTTTTTTCTGTTCTCCCATTTGAAGCCGTTCGAGGTAGAAAATCCCAAGTCCTGAGAGAGGCCCCACTGAAACGCGGAAACCATCGACCCTTCAAATCTCCCAGGACCAGCGCCGACCAATTGACTAGGAAATGAGCTAGCAATTGACATGGTAATCTGGCCTGAAAATCACTCGAACCCAACCATCATGGGCAAAGTGCAGAACCCCGCTCATTTGCCCAGGGCTAAATGACTTGATTCTTTTGTAAGGAGTTTCTGCGAGTGATTTCAAGCATGCGCCCAGAGCACCCGAAACCCAGGCCTGTCCGACAATGACACCAGCTCCTGACAGGCTGGATACGGCGACAAAGAGTTCCCATGCTCGACAGTCATGGTTCAAGCCACGGCGTCGAATTCAATAATGCCGACCCCGGATTAATAAACCCTGTGTATTAATATGGGGGTGTTCCACTCCAAGAGTGATACATCTCCACTAAAACCAGGGACACCCCCATATTAATAAAAAGGGGTTTATTAATCTGGGGTCAACATTAACAGGTATACTTCATATGAGCATAGGAGGCCATGGCTCGGACTCAGTTTTGCCTCAGGTTCAAACCATGAGAAGCTCTGAGCCCCAAGGAGTACTCACCAGGCCTCATGCCTTGGGGAAAGCGGTTCTGTGCCAAACCCTTGATCGGGGCTCAGGTTGAGCAGCCCTACCTTTGACACGTGCCATGCGATGGACATGTGTACCTTTTTCGGCTGAAGAGTGCAAGGCAAATAGAATCCAGGAAAGTGAGCATCACCCAACATGTCCCTTAACATCATGAAGAATCCCAAAAAAAAGATCTCTTTAAAACGGCCTAAGAGATGCTCAAGACCACCGAAAGAGGGAAATACTGGGAACCATGCGAGGGTCCGTTCAAAGCAGGCAAGTCACAAGAACAAGAACACGAAACCAGCCCCGGCCACCAAACCCCGTCTTACCATCGCACTCACGTTTAATCACAAACCTGGCTAAGGGCCGTATTCGACCTTGCGTGGCCCAGAATCCTATAAGCCTTCGAACTCCCAAATCGGGTGAGGTCTTTCCCTGGCCGTTTTATGGGCACGCATGTTCCTGGCGGAAAAAAAAATGTGGAAAAAAAGAAGAAGACAACAAAGGAGAAGAAAAAAAACGTCCTGCATTCGCCCAACCACATGGGGCAGCTGAAGAGGGAGAACTTGCTGCTCCCCAAGTCTCAGAGCAGGCCTGGCCAACCCAACCCGGCGGCCTCTGAAAAACCTCTGTGGATGGACGAAATCCATTTCTCACCGCTTGGAGATCATGGGAAACCATTGTTCGTTGGTATGTACAGGCGGATCATTCTTCCAGGGTTTCTTAGGTGGTGCGGAGTGGATTTCGTCCATGCACAGGACCTCCGAGAATACATTTCTCCATGCACAGATTGCTAAAGAAACAACAAAACTGGCGGCGACCGGGTTTCCAGCATCCCCCACCACGTGCACCACTATGGAAAGCCACAAGTTTCAAGCAAATCCTATCGTAGAAATGTTTGATACCAGGCACCCTCATGTTCAACTCCGGGTGCATTGTCATACAAACAACCCATTGCATTGCCCTTAACCTCCAGTGTTTCATTGTTATCTTACCTTTCAGATTCTCTGTCTTGCCGTCGTACTCCTCTCCCTTTCTGACGTTTCACGTCTATCCCAACTCTCATTGAACACCACCAGACACTGAGGACGCTGTGGCCAACAGTCATGAAAACCGACGCCGCACTTTCCAGCCTTTCATGGTGGTAGGTGCCGCTTGGCACGTGGTAGAACCTTATGGCTCCGAAATGGAGGGACCAGTCGTGAGGACCTTATCACAGCATCGGCAATCCCACCTTGGTTTCTCCCCTGTGAAAATGAATGACATTTCGAATTCAGTCTACTGGACCCTCCCCCCCCCCCAACAAAAAAAAAATCAAAGGAGGTGAGGTCAGTCCCCAGACTCCGGGGCCCCCTGCAGGATCTTTCCACGCTGGTTCAGGATCGCTTGGAAGTTCTCGGGCAGTGGGCACGTCTGCTGCAGCTGCTCGATCCTCGGATCACGCCGCATCGAGCCCTGGGAGAGACGAGCGATCCATCGCCTGGTGGCCGGACTGCCCGAAGCAAGGGGTGGTCCAACTTTTTGGAGGGTACCGTTGTTGGATTCGTTTAAGGGGACGCCAAGAGCAGGCAACACATTTTGGGGGGTGCTTCTATTTTAAGACTCACCCACATCAGCATGGCTTCCCAACGAACAGTGACAAGACATGGGACTGACAATGCGATCCAACTTCCCAAAACTCAGACACGATAAGGACACCAACGCCATGCAGGAAATGAGAGTTCTTTTTGGAGCATCAGCCCTTGCTTGGTGGCCTCCATCAATTGGCCCATTCCATGCCACAAGTACTTTGACTCCAAAAGCCGCGCATCCAATTTGGAAGTTTCAGCTAAAATCGGGACCCTGGATGGTTCCAAAGGAACACCAAAGGATTATAGCCAAGGCCACGTGAGAGGTTCCCACCAAGAAACCTCCAACTCCAAAACGCCCACCAAAAAAACAAGTAGGGTGCCAACTGAAAGAAAATGAGAAAAGGAACCCGAGAAACAAAAGCACCACACAAAACAAAAAGGAATGCAACCAAGAAAAGAAGAAAACGCCCAGTCGTTCGCTCATACGGTCACGGCTCTCGTACAGTAGCCGCTTGAGCTGCATCGCTAGCTGGTCCATCTCCTGGAGGAATCAAACCGAGAGTCGATGGTGAGTCCAAGTGGAATTTGGGAAATCCGAGAGAGGAACCCAAACTAAAACTGATATTTTAAGGAATCCCCCAAACTACACCATGATACCTTCGTCTTTGGCATTTTTGAAGGTGCCCCACAAGGTGCCGCAGGATCGTTCACAAGCTGCCATACGAAACGACCAACGATCCGCCCGAATCAATCGGATTGAAAAGCAGGCTACAGGCTACGAAAAGCAAGCGGGCCGTACACATATATAGATTGCTTCAGCCCCGCGAGGGTCCGCGGCAAAAACATCTGCAGCGGTTTGCTGTGCGACAGTTGGTGTGATATCCGTTGAGTGGGAAGCGATGGTTGCTGTCCATAGCGTTTGGTGAGGATGAAAGGGCTGGGGCAGAAATTGTGTGCTCTGCGTCCATACCCTGCATTGTTTGACAGTGGGGCCGCATCACCGGTGTTGATATCCCTTCAGAATGGCCTCAAGTCTCCACATCTGGGCGTGTGGGTGTCTTACTTTAGGGGAACCCCCAAAATGGCTTCCAGTTTCCTTTGGGTTTCCCTTTGAACAACGAAAGAAGGGCACCCTCAAAAAAGACGAGCCATCCATGTGCCAAACTTGGGAGCCTCTTTTCGGCCCCGACTGTCCGTCCTCTTGGACCTCCTGGCACTGCTTGCCGACCTCCAGGGGCACCCAGAAAACGCATTTTGAGAGACAGCCCAGCTGCACAAAAGGTGATGTTGAAACCACTAACAACAAAAACGAAAACGAAAGACTGGCCAACCAAGCAACAAACCTATAGGCAGACAGACACACAAACAAACACAACCAGAAACATTCAAGCAAGCAATCCAGCAAGGAAACAAGGCAAACAACAATAACAATTCAAACCAACCGACCCAGCAAACCAAGCAACAAGGTGGCGTTGAAACCACCCAAAAAAGTACACACCAAACCAACGTGACCCGACCTCCTCGCGGGACAGCTGCAGAAGCTGCGACACCTCCTTGTCGAGGTCCGGCGAACCCGAGCCCGACGACGCGCCCTCCGCGCTGACGCGGACGCTCCACGGCACGTAGCGACCGCCTGACACGATGGATGCTTCGACCTGGTTGGTTTTGGAGTGCTGTTTCTTGGTTGTTTGCTTTGTGCCTTGCGTAGTCGCTTGCTGGTGGTAGAAACAACCCAACAGAAGTATCAAGGGGGTGCTTTAAAACACCGCCAATAGGTACCCCCGAGAGAAGGTAGAATCAACAATGATGACCGCGCAATTGGCGCCTGAACGTGTGAGAAGGCGGTCTAATCATGCCCCAAAAAAGGGAACTGGTACATGATGGGGGTTATCAGTTGTTAGTCGCCCTAGAGAGAATCAGAGATGAGGCTTATTCAAAAGAAGTATTGCACAAAACATATCTTGAACATGGAGCGCCATACTCGATCTTCCTGCCACCAGCCATCTTGGATCGAACCAACGGGAGAACAAGACTCTGTAATGTCAGAGTGAAGCAAAATTAGTCATAGATGTCTGAAGTTGCGAATGGCGCATGATTGGTTAGATCTCCAGGTGACAGAAAAACCTTGGCCAAGCATGATAGCATGGTGCATGGATATCAGCCCTTGCTCGGCTTTGCGTTCTTTTACAAATTTTGGTGCTCAGAGACAACACTGAAAACGTCCCAACAAACGTCCTTGCGCTGGATGGAAGCTTACGCCTCTGGCAGGACATACGGGCACACAGTCTAGACGTTGGCCAGCTGCCCGCTTGCTCACCCAACGTGTCAACAAACTCCCCCGTGAACACCTTCCGGAAACCTACAAGCAAGAAGGATTCAGCTCGGACATGGCTCTGCAAACAGAAAGAGGGCAAACTGCAGTCTTCCCAGAGACACATCTGAGGACCACGTTAAAACACATGAGGGCTACAACCACTTGATTTTCCCACAGAGATCCCCCTTGAAACAACTTCCAACAGACAGAATCGGACATCAGCCCCCCGTTTTGCCAAACTCAGACTGATTCAGAGCCTGCAATTGCACCCTAGCACTAGCCATGGAGGGCACCAACAAATACCATCTAGCTCCTCCAGTAGAGAGGTTAGCATAAGGGTACCAACTTTTTTCGGTAGTCTACTTTAGTAGGGAAACCCTCCCCCCAAAAAAGGGTAAAAGGGCACTACTGGCGAACCTAGGTCAGTATCAGCGTATCATTGGAGGTTTCCCAAAATTCTAAAAACAAACAGGAACTCCATTCTCTTGCTGGTGCTCAGTAGGGAATCACCGAGTCCGGGTGTTGCCAATGAGCTTGGGGATTCCCGACATTAAAGACTCTCATTTTGGGCGTCCCCGTGGCTTGGCTCGGGGCAAACCCCCCGCCGCTCTGGTCACCGAAGCCATCCTTCTCGAGCCTCTCCTGGCGGGTGAACTCTTCACGTTGCCTTCAGCAAGAACGCATGTATGCATGTCTATATTCAAAACCCAAGTGTGAATGAACACATTTTGTTTAAAAACAAAATGAAAGAAAACAACATGCATAAAAACCAGATATGTACACACACACACACACACGAGTACGCATATTTGAAATGATCACTATGAATACGTTCAGCAAAACGCAAAAACAGCTGTGACAATGCTGTTTGTAGGCACGCAGATATGCATGCATGCATTCATGCATATCCATGCACTTCGTGCTGTTGAAAGCAAACATGTATGCGGTATACGTTGTGTCTGCACATGCCCCCACGTGCCCCCATGCGTATGTCTGTATGTGTCTGTGTATGCTGATAGGTGCATGCATCTACTTATTGGATATATACAACATTATACAACGAGAACTCTACACAAGCCCACTTGTCTGTTTTCTCGTGTATGTGCACACCTATAAATGGAACGTGCACGCCACTTTTGACACGTGCCCTTGTGATTTGGTCTATTGCATTAAAATGGATCCTGTTGATGAGCCTATCAACACACGGTCACAAGAGACATGCGCTCTCCGAAGCAGGTTCGCTGCTTTGGGTGCATTTCTGTGGCAACTGTCTGTCAAACGCCTTGCCGCCCCCGCCTGCAGCTGTCGGACTGCGTTGTTGCCTTGCGCGAATGGGTTTGCAAAAACAACACTAAAAGGAAACAAACACTACACTGGTTTTTGGAAACCTGCCTCGTCCCTATTTGCTCGTTGGTGCGTGGTATTCCACAGGCCCTTCACCACCTTGTTCTTGGAAACCTGGCTCTTCCCTATTTGCTCGTTGATCTGTAGTATTCCACAGACCCTTCACCACCCAAAGGAAGCTACCCCGAGCGGGTTAATGGGATGTGTAGTGAAAAGCCCAATCCCCCCTGCACTAGCCAGGGAAGAAACCGCGTCAGCCAGAAAAGAAAACCACGTCTCGGCAGCCTGAACACCAGAACATGATGTGCAGGGTCAAGTAATCAATTTATGAGTCTGATTGGAAATGTGAAGCTCACACAAAACAAAGAGCCTTTTGCACTTGACGAACTTACCCCCGTTCAATACACTGCCGCAAAACAAACCACGTCTTCCCTGTTTGGGGTGGCTTTTAAGCTAAAGAGAAACCAAAGGGAAACCAAGCGAAACCACAGGGCAACCAAAGGGAAACCAAAGGGAAACCAAAGCGAAACCACTGGGCAGCCAAAGGGAAACCAAAGGGAAACCAAAGGGAAACCAAAGCGAAACCAAAGCGAAAACACTGGGCAGCCAAAGGGAAACCAAAGGGAAACCAAAGCGAAACCAAAGCGAAACCACTGGGCAGCCAAAGGGAAACCAAAGGGAAACAAAAGCGAAACCAAAGCGAAACCACTGGGCAGCCAAAGGGAAACTAAAGGGAAACCAAAGCGAAACCAAAGCGAAACCACTGGGCAGCCAAAGGGAAACCAAAGGGAAACCAAAGCGAAACCAAAGCGAAACCACTGGGCAGCCAAAGGGAAACCAAAGGGAAACCAAAGCGAAACCAAAGCGAAACCACTGGGCAGCCAAAGGGAAACCAAAGGGAAACCAAAGCAAAACCACTGGGCAGCCAAAGGGAAACCAAAGGGAAACCAAAGCGAAACCAAAGCGAAACCACTGGGCAGCCAAAGGGAAACCAAAGGGAAACCAAAGCGAAACCAAAGCGAAACCACTGGGCAGCCAAAGGAAAACCAAAGGGAAAAAGCGAAACCAAAGCGAAACCACTGGGCAGCCAAAGGGAAACCAAAGGGAAACCAAAGCGAAACCAAAGCGAAACCACTGGGCAGCCAAAGGGAAACCAAAGGCAAACAAAAGCGAAACCACAGGGCGACCAAAAAGAAACCAAAGGAAAACCAAGGGGAAACCAAAGCGAAACCACAGGGCAACCAAAAAGAAACCAAAGGAAAACCAAGAGGAAACCAAAGCGAATCCACAGGGCAACCAAAAAGAAACCAAAGGAAAACCAAGGGGAAATCACAGGGCAACCAAAAAGAAACCAAAGGAAAACCAAGGGGAAACCAAAGCGAAACCACAGGGCAACCAAAAAGAAACCAAAGGAAAACCAAGGGGAAACCAAAGCGAAACCACAGGGCAACCAAAAAGAAACCAAAGGAAAACCAAGGGGAAACCAAAGCGAAACCACAGGGCAACCAAAAAGAAACCAAAGGAAAACCAAGGGGAAACCAAAGCGAAACCACAGGCAACCAAAGAAACCACCAAGGGGAAACCAAAAAACCACAGGGCAACCAAAAGAAACCAAAGGAAAAACCAAGGGGAAACCAAAGCGAAACCACAGGGCAACCAAAAAGAAACCAAAGGAAAACCAAGGGGAAACCAAAGCAAAAAGAAACCACAGGGCAACCAAAAAGAAACCAAAGGAAAACCAAGGGGAAACCAAAGCGAAACCACAGGGCAACCAAAAAGAAACCAAAGGGAAAACCAAGGGGAAACCAAAGCGAAACCACAGGGCAACCAAAAAGAAACCAAAGGAAAACCACGGGAAACCAAAGCGAAAACCACAGAGCAACCAAAAAGAAACCAAAGGAAAACCAAGGGAAACCAAAGCGACACCACAGGCAACCAAAAAGAAACCAAAGGAAAACCAAGGGAAACCAAAGCGAAACCACAGGGCAACCAAAAAGAAACCAAAGGAAAACCAAGGGGAAAACCAAAGCGAAACCACAGGCAACCAAAAAGAAACCAAAGGAAACCAAGGGGAAACCAGGCTAGAACCACAGGGCAACCCAAAAGAAACCAAAGGAAAACCAAGGGGAAACCAAAGCAAAACTAATAGGGCAACCAAAAAGAAACCAAAGGAAAACCAAGGGAAACCAAAGCGAAACCATTGGCGATCAAAAAGAAAACCAAAGGAAAACCAAGGGGAAACTAAAGCTGAACCACAGGGCAACCAAAAAGAAACCAAAGGAAACCAAGGGAAACCAAAGCGAAACCACAGGCCAACCAAAAAGAAACGCAAAGGAAACCAAAAGGAAAACCAAAGTTAAACCACAGGGCAACCAAAAAGAAACCAAAGGAAAACCAAGGGGAAACCAAAGCGAACCACAGTGGGCAACAACCAAAAAGAAACCAAAAGGAAAACTTAATGGTTAGTTCAAAGCGAACCACAGGGGGGCCAAAAAGCAACCAAAGGAAAACCAAGGAAACCAAAGCTAAAACCACAGGGAAACCAAAGAAAACTGAAGGAAACCTAGGAAACCAAAGCTGAACCAAAGGGCAACCAAAAAGAACCAAAGGAAAACCAAGGGGAAACCAAAGCCAACCACAGGGCAACCAAAAAGAAACCAAAGGGAAACAAAAGCTTTAAACCACAGGGCAACCAAAAAGAAACCAAAGGAAGACCAAGGGGAAACCAGCGGTCATTTCAGGTCGCAAAAAGAAACCAAAGCTCAGTCCAAAGATTGCAGCTTAAACCACAAAGCAACCAAAAAGAAACCAAAGGAAACCAAGGAAAACCAGCGAAACCATTGGGCGACCAAAAAGAAACCAAAGGAAAACCAAGAGGAAACCAAAGCGAAACCACAGGGATGACCAAAAAGAAAACCAAAGGAAAACCAAGGAAACCAAAGCAAAACCACAGGGGCAACCAAAAAGAAACCAAAGGAAAACCAAGGGGAAACCAAAGCAAAACCACAGGGCAACCAAAAAAAAAAGAAAAACCAAAGGAAAACCAAGGGAAACCAAAGCTAAAACCACAGGGCAACCAAAAAGAAACCAAAGGAAAACCAAGGGGAAACCAAAGCGAAACCACAGGGCAACCAAAAAGAAACCAAAGGAAAACCAAGGGGAAACCAAAGTCAAACCACAGGGCAACCAAAAAGAAACCAAAGAAAACCAAGGAAACCAAAGCGAAACCACTGGCAGCCAAAGGGAAAACCAAAGGGAAACAAAAGCGAAACCACAGGGCAACCAAAAAGAAACCAAAGGAAAACCAAGGGGAAACCAAAGCTAAAACCACAGGGCAACCAAAAAGAAAACCAAAGGAAACCAAGGGGAAACCAAAGCGAAACCACAGGGCAACCAAAAAGAAACCAAAGGAAAACCAAGGGGAAAACCAAAACGAAATCCACTGGGCAACCAAAAGAAACCAGAGGAAAACCAAGGGGAACCAAAGCTAAACCACAGGGCAACCAAAAGAAACCAAAGGAAAAACCAAGGGAAACCAAAGCGAACCACAGGGCAACCAAAAGGAAACCAAAGGAAAACCAAGGGGAAAACCAAAGCGAAACCACAGGCAACCAAAAAGAAACCAAAGGAAAACCAAGGAAGCCAAAGCGAAACCACAGGCAACCAAAAGAAACCAAAGGAAAACCAAGGGGAAAACCAAAGCCAAACCACAGGGGTTGGAGCAAGAAACCAGTGGAAAACCAAGGGGAAACCAAAGCTAAAACCATGACAGGGCAAACTAAAGAAACCAAAAGGAAAACCAAGGGGAAACCAAAGCGAAACCAGGGCAACCAAAAAGAAACCAAAGGGAACCAAAAGAAACAAAAGCTAAACCACAGGGCAACCAAAAAGAAACTAAAGGAAAACCAAGGGGAAACCAAAGTTAAAACCACTGGGCAGCCAAAGGGAACCCAAAGGGAAACAAAAAGCCGAAACCACAGGGCAACCAAAAAGAAACCAAAGGAAAACCAAGGGGAAACCAAAGCTAAACCACAGGGCAACCAAAAAGAAACCAAAGGAAAACCAAGGGGAAACCAAAGCGAAACCACAGGGCAACCAAAAGAAACCAAAGGAAAACCAAGGGAAACCAAAGCAAAAACCACAGGGCAAACTAAAAGAAACCAAAGGAAAACCAAGGGGAAACCAAAGCGAAACCATTGGGCTTACCTCAAAGCCAAAACCAAAGGAAAACCAAGAGGAAACCAAAGCAGTAAAACCACAGGCTTATCAAAAAGAAAACCAAAGGAAACCAAGGGGAAAACCAAAGCGAAACCACAGGGGCAACCAAAAAGAAACCAAAGGAAACCAAGGGGAAACCAAAGCGAAACCACAGGGCAACCAAAAAGAAAACCAAAGGGAAACCAAGGGAAACCAAAGCGAACCACAGGCAACCAAAAGAAACCAAAGGAAAACCAAGGGGAAACCAAAGCGAAACCACAGGCAACCAAAGAAACCAAAGGAAACCAAGGGGAAACCAAAGCTAAACCACAGGGCAACCAAAGAACCAACATCATCAATCAGCCATTTCCGCCCGGGTCCCAGAAAGATTCCCTGTCTGGGAGCATCCCCGAAGGAAAAACCAAGGAAACCAAAGCGAAAAACCACAGGGCAACCAAAAAGAAACCAAAGGAAAACCAAGGGGAAACAAAGCTGAATCCATTGGGCCACCAAAACAAACCAAAGGAAAACCAAGAGGAAACCAAAGCGAAACCACAGGGCGACCAAAAGAAACCAAAGGAAAACCAAGGGGAAACCAGTTTCTAAACCACAGGGCAACCAAAAAGAAACCAAAGGAAAACCATGGGGAAACCACAGCTAAAACCACAGGGCAACCAAAAAGAAAACCAAAGGAACCAAGGAACTAAAGGAACTGACAGGGCAACCAAAAAGAAACCAAAGGAAACCAAGGGGAACTAAATAAACCACAGGGCGACCAAAA